CTTGGATCAGAAGGCAACAAGGTGGATTGGTGCCCTGGCAGCACTGAACCCACCACACCAGTCGGTGCCTTGGCTGGGGGATCTAAGGAACTGGTGAAATCTCGAATGAGAGAGCCAAACCCAGAGCACCCCGCTCCCACCACCTCTGCTCTGTCCTCACCTGACATCGCTGGCTCTGCTCCTGCTGGGTTTATTTTTGCCCTCTCTCCCCACCCTCCTTGCCCTGCTGTCTCTGGGCTCCCACACTCCACCTTTGGCTGTCCCAGCCCTCCTGAGCCACAGCTCTGCACCCTGCTGTCCCTTTGTCACCAGGAGGGGACCCGAGAGGAGCCTGGTGCCCCTGGCCCTGCCACAGCTGAGCCACTGCAGGGGGATGCTGCTCCTCACCCCTCCCCAGCCTGCTGACACTCACAAGAACACGGCTGAAAAGCCAAAATCTCGGGGTTTGTGCTCACTTTTTGTTGTGGTGTGTTGCAATGTCCTGTTTTAAACTTCTGGGTCCCTTCCCAGGTGTGCCTATGCCTCTCTCCCTTCTCCCTCGCCCCCTTGCTGAGTGAGTCCTGTCAATCAGGTTTAACATTCCAGCAAGGCGTTGTGTGGTTGGTCCCTCAGGCCTGGGGGACATTGGATAGGTGTCCCCAGTCCCTTGAGACCCTGCCCCTTTCACCTGGTTGGTGCTCACCTGTCCCCTCCCCTTCCCCTGTCCCGGAGCTTAAAAGGTTAATGAGACCATGCAGCCTCCATTCTGTTGGCAGCAGTTGGCCCGGTTCAGACCTCTGTAACCATGGAATAAACATCTGGATATAACCCTCCAGCAGAATCCACTCCTTTCTCTCTTCACCATCACCAGAAGCTCTCTCTCCTGAGGTAAACGGAGTCCTGACAAGCCTGGACTTGCACCAGTGCCCCGCTGCACTCTCCAGCAGCCAAGGTGTCTCTGGGGTAAAACACCACAGTGCTGCCTTTGGCCCAGCAGCGAGGGTCACACTGACCCAGGCACCATCTAACTGGTAATATTGGGATTCATATTCCAATAAGTTTTTCAAGGGGAGCCAGCTTTGAGCCGGTCCCTCGGAGCCTGAGCCGGGTTCAGGGACAGGAATGTGCTGTGGTGACTCATCCTTACCTTCCAAAGTTAGCTGGAAGAAACTCCAAAAAGGCATCGTTTAGATAGAGCTGGGTCAAATTTAGAAGTTGTGTGAAGCCATCTGGCAGCCTAAAAAAACAGAGCAAACCTTAATGCTCACCCCGAGTTGCCATGGAGATAATAACAATGTATATTTAGCAGCAGAAAGGTGACTTTCTCTCTCACCTACTTCTTCTACCCAAATTCTCCTGAAGAACTCACTTTTAACAGACATTTTTGCCCATTCCCATCTTCTCTGCATTGCTACAAGCAGGAAATGCAAAGGCCTGGCACACTCAGGGGACAGCAGCTTTTGNTATTCTGATTTTATTCTGATTTTTTCTTTCACTTTTGGAGGAATCTGGAATCTGCCCCGTGGCACAAACATCCCTTGGGCTCAGGTGAGAATTCCCTGATAAATCCATCTGGATCCATGGCTCCCAGGAGGCAGATTTCACATTTCACATCCCTCAAACTCTCCCACCCCTCATTCCCAGCTGCAGAGCTCCTGATTTATCCCCCAAATTCCCACCGGTCCCTTAGGATGTGACTTTTTGCACATTAATTCCCAAATTCTGACAGTGTTCCCTCAGAATCCTGCCTATTTTCTGGGCACTGCATCTTCTCCTTCCCAAGAAGCAAATTAATCCTGAAGTCCAGGAGAAATCCTATTTTTTTGGTTTTTTTTTTTTTTCCCTACATCAGGACTTGCTCTTTGGAAAGGATCCATTGGATGTCATTTTTTTCCAGCAGGTCCTGCAGGAAAACAATTCCTGCTGCCAAAAAACCCCAAAGATCTGCAGAGAGCCGTGAGTCAGAGGATGAGAACAGCAAATCCAGGGAATTTCTCATCCCTCCAGACCCCTGGCGCTGAGTCACCAGGCCACAAGGAGGTTCCTGCAACCCCGCAATTTTCCGGAGGAATTTGGGAAAAAATCCCCAGAATCTTGGGAAGGTTTTCCTCTGCCCAGGGGTGGGAATTGGAAAAACAAAAAACGTCCACAGACACCAAAAGATTGGATGTACAGCCCTAGAATAAAGTTAGATTAATGCAAAAGTACAGGATACAGACATTAAACATAAAACAGAAAGTAAAAGTACAAGATTAAACATTAAACATAAAACATAAAGTAAAAATACAAGATAAAACATTAAACATAAAGCAGACACAGACATAAAACAGAAACATAACGAAACCATCAAATTATGTTTCTATAGTTATAAGTATATGCCTTAAGTGAGAAACTGGATTAATAAAATAGGGAAGAGTTTATAATATAAAAGCGCAGTTTAATAAAGCTAAGAGTTTAAAAGTTAGAATAGAAACGTGTGTGCATGTAAGTTAAAAACCCATNCAGGAAATAAATGCCATAGAAATAGGAAATAAATGCCATAGAAATAGGAAATAAACTCTGTAAAAACAGGAAATAAACCCCACAGGAACAGGGAAATAAACCCCACAAAACCAGGGAAACAAACTCCACTGAAATGTATTGCCATATATTATTATAACTAACATTTTAATTATTACATACATTATACATTATCTATATTACATATATTTTAATATTTTATGTATCCCTATTATATCTTTTCAATTATTAAATCCTGGAACTCTCCAGAGATTAAATACACTCAAATTGGCAAAACCTTTGTCTTTCATCCCAAATTCTTTTGAACACAACTTTAACAGCTTTAGGTTTTCTAAATTCAGCTTCAAATGCAACTTTTAACCATTATTTGTGCCATTTCTACAGTCAAATAAACAACTCCAGAAACTGAAACTGATGTGGGGGCAGATTAATTTCAGGAGTTGGGGCCCCATCAAAAAATGAAGCTCTGCTGATGTTTCCAATGGAAAATCAGATTTTCCCATTAGCTGCTGTTATTTTTATCTCTCTCCTATAATAACTTTTATTTTTCTTATGGAAAGCTTTGTTAAGAGTTTTTACATGGGGTCATTCACAGAGGTGGATCAGGAATGAGCAGTTATGGGCAATGCTCAGGAAAATATTCAGTGTTTAAAGGATGTTGTGGGGAGAATGAATGTGCCAAAGATTTCCCCAAAATCCTTACGGGGATCCCATTTGGAGCTTTCCTTCCACTCATGAGTGAGTGGAGACTTTGGGCAATAAGGATGGAATTCTCATGAGGTTCAGAATAAAATTATTTTATTTTAAAATTATTTTGTGCTTTTAAAAATTTTATTTTAAAATTATTTTGTGATTTTTTAAAAAATATTATGTGTTTTTTAAAAGGCTACAGAGGCACGGAAACCAAAAACAGGAGGGTGAGGCTGGGGGGTTCTCCAGGTTATCCAATCCCTCCATTTGGGGCCAGCAAGTTTTTCTCTGGAATTCAGCATTCCCAATGAGATGGAAAATAATCTTTTTCTCTGTTCCTCTGGAAAAGAACCCCAGAATCCCATGGAAAAGAGCTTAAAGCTCATCTGGCCCATGGAAGGTGTCCCTGTCCGTGGGACTGGATGGGATTTCAGCTCCCTCCCAACCCAAACCAGCCTTGAAAATCTGTGGGATTCTATGAAGAGTAATTAATAATAATTAACAATCAATTAATAAAATAAAATCAAATTTTTATTTTAAAAATAAAATCAATTATTAAAACAAAATTATATTAATTAATAAATTAATATTTAATTTTATAAATGAAATTTATAAATTAATTTTATAAATATATGATGTCATAAATAATAATTTTATAATTTTCGTAACTTTTATAATAAATAAATTTATAATAATTTTTATAAATATTTTTAAAATAAAATCAATTAATACAAAAAAATAAAATAACTTCAAAATAAAATGTAAAAATCATTTTTCCAGACAACTTTACCCCCT